AAATCCTTTTGAAGGATTTCCTTCAAAGACATAAGGGAGTGGTAAGAATTGTACTTTATCTCTATGGTCTTCCTCCCAAACCCCCTAACTACAGTCTAAACATGAGAAAAATATCAGACAAATCCCAATTGTGGGATATTTTGCAAAATACCTGAGCAGTAGTCTTGAAAACTATCAATGTCATCAAAACCAAGAAAATTCTGAGAAAGTGTCAGACCAGAGGAAACTAAAGAGATACAAGTGAATGTGATATGGTATTCTGGGTGGGATCCTGGAAGAGAAGAAGAACATTAGGTGAAAACCAGTGAAATCCTGGAGAAGGAAATGGCAACCCACTCCAGTATTCTTGCCTGGAGAACCCCAGGGACAGAGAAGCCGGGTGGGCTGCCATCTATGGGGTCGCACAGAGTTGGACACGACTGATGTGACTTAGCAGTAGTAGCAGCAGTGAAATCCAAATGAGGTATGGAGTTTAGTTAATAATACTGTACTGAAATTAGTTCTTTAGTTGTGACAAATGTACTGTGATCATGTAAGATGCTAACAACAGGGGAAAATGGGCATAGAGTATATGAGAACTCTGTACTATCTTTTGCAAGACTATTTAAAAAGACAATTCCAGGGACTTTTGGGTGGTCCAGTGGCTAAGAATCTGCCTACCAATGCAGGAAACATGGGTTCAGTCCCTGATCTGGGAAGATCCCACATGCTGGAAGGCAACTAAGCCAGTGAGCCAAAACTGTTGAACCGAAGCTCCGCAACTAGAGAAAGCCCTCAAGCAGCAACAAAGACCCAATGCAGCCAAAAATAAATAAAGAAAAGACAATTTTAAAATAAAATTTTTAAGGTACCTCCCTGGGAGTACAGTGGTGAAGACTCTGCTCCCAACATGGGGGACGCTGGTTTGATCCTTGGCTAGGGAACTAAGATCCCACATGCTGTGCAGCCAAAAATAAATAAATAAAATAAAAATTTTAAGATAATCATTATGGAGAGGGAAAAGCAGATGGGGTATATGGTTGGGACAAAATTGGCCACATGTTAGTGGTTCCTGGGGCTATGTAATGGAAGTTCATTATACTTTTCTGTCTATATTTATTTATTATTGAAATTATTATAAGGTTTAAAAGTACATATATTGTGTTGGGGGGTCCTCAAAGCCATCCACAGGTTCTATGATTTGCTAGGAGGACTCTTGTTATTCAGTGGTCCAGTCATGACTGACTCTTTGCAACCCCACTGACTGCAGCATGCCAGCCCTCCCTGTCCTTCACTATCTCCCAGAGTTTGCTTAAACTCATGTTCATTGAGTCAATGATGCCATCCAACCATCTAGGACTCAGCATATAATCATACTCACAGCTATGAATTTCTTTTGTTTATTATAAGCTTTATCTGAGTTAAATATAGAAAACAATATACTTTTATTTGCAATTTAATGATGCAAGTTGCTATGGCAAATAATTTACATTAATTCTTTTTATATTATATATTATATTATCCTTTTGAACATTATATGTATGTAAGGAATAAAGCTAATCATTTATGAATTTTAACAATAATCAGAAAATTTTCTTTCAAAAAAATTTCCTTAAGTATGATGCCAGGTATAAAGCTCATAATTACCAAAATATTTATATTAAGTGCATGAGCCCATCATTAAATAAAGATAAATATCCCTACAGTGAAAGCACAGAGAATAAAATCAGCAAAGGGGAAAAAGCACAGGGGGCAAGGTTCAGACAAAACCCAGCACAAGCTTCCTAGAGTCCTCTCCCTCTGAAGTCAGACAGAATGCACTTAATTCCTTCCCAGGATCACACATGTCTACCAGGGAAGCTCAACTGGAGAAGCCCAGTGCTGTTACTGAAGACTGGTTACATAAGCACCCTCTGCCTAGCACATGTCAAGATTCCAGACTCTCAGAAAACATTCAGCATCAACCACATTGTAAAACATTTTAGGCAGAGTGAGCCATACATACCATTTAGGTAAAGTGTAATATTAATGTAGGGAAATATTTAGCAGTCAAGTTCCCAAATGCAAACCAAAGGCCAACCCGGCCAGCAAGCCTTTATAAGGATAGTCTCAGGCCTAAACACACACACACGCATACACACACACGCATACACACACACACACACACACACACACACACACAGAGGCATACCACTCCCTGATACAGCACAAAGATGTTTTATAACTCACATCCTCCTCTTCTATGGAAGGTACCTCCACAATACTCACTTGGAGACCCCATCTCCTATTCTGGTCTACCGGTGCATGTCTGAAGGCAGGAGGGAGAACCTGCGAGGTGTGGAGGGCCGAAAAGAACAAGTTCCAAGATTATCTGTGGGCATAGCCATAAATAAGCCTGGAACTCTGCACTTTTGTTCTTTGCTTTTTTCCTTCTGTAGGTGGTACTTAGTTCTGAGAAGTCTACCTGGAGAAAGAGAAGAAAAAGAAAAATGGAAGAGAAAAGAAGGAAGCCTTCTGAGAGACTGAGAGAATCCCGTCAGCAAAATGCTCCTGGATATCTCCTGGATCCATTCTTATGCCAGTGCGGGAGGGTTGGGAATATCATAAAACAGGTGAGTTTAAGGTTCCTGCTGGTGAGGAATTAGTCAGTGAGGTTAAATAATTTGTCTAAGGACACACATGAGTGTGTGGCAGAAGACTCAGACCCAGGAAGTCTGACTTTTGGAGTTCATGCTCTCAGCTGCTGTATTTGTTGTAACTATTTGCTTTCTCCTAAAATAATTGTAAATGAGGCATTAAGTGCGTGTGATTTTAAAATATGCAGTATCCCCAGAAGCCACAAATGATTACCGACATTCTAGCTCTTCCTTGTTTTCAGTCAGAACCATGTAACAGAATGATTTCTGGGTAATTACTGGGCAGTTCATTCCTAACTTTTTTGGAAAAATCCATCTATGAAGCCAGAGGTCAGCAACCCAAAGTCTCCATTTTTAATTGTGTTGCAGCTTATGTGAAATCAGTTATGGCTGAGTATAATCCTTTACATCTCATAGTTTTGATGCCTTTAAGTTTGAACCAGAGATTCTCAAAGGACCCTCTGGGGGTCTCTGAGATTCTTTAAGGAGGTTCATGAGGTCAAAACTATTTCAAAATAATAATGGGGTATTAATTAATTTAATTTTTATTAAAGAGATTTACAAAGTGCTGAACAGTATAAGTCTTAACACTACATTTGTCCTATTTTGGAAATACAGTTTTCAGAAAATATTTGTTAACATGTAATAGTAATAATGTATTGTTATTTAAATATGAATAAATATTTAGAAATTCTTAATTTTAGTTTCTCAGTAAATAAGTAGATAAATGTCAATAGGTATACCCCATGTAACTATCAATAGATAAACCCCATGTAAACAAAAGCTCTTTGGGGGCTTCCAAGACTACAGAGGGATCCTGAGATCAGAAACTTTGAGCACCACTAGTTGTACCATCGGAGAAGGCAATGGCACCCCACTCCAGTACTCTTGCCTGGAAAATTCCATGGATGGAGGAGCCTGGTAGGCTGTAGTCCATGGGGTCGCTAAGAGTCGGACACGACTGAGCGACTTCACTTTCATTTTTCACTTTCATGCATTGGAGAAGGAAATGGCAACCCACTCCAGTATTCTTGCCTGGAGAATCCCAGGGATGGGGGAGCCTGGTGGGCTGCCGTCTCTGGGGTCGCACAGAGTCAGACACGACTGAAGTGACTTAGCAGTTAGCATAGTATATACAAGTGGTGATGTTCTGTGGGCAGGCAGATCTGGAGCTGGTGAAGAGCTGAGGGATACAGATCTGCAAGGGTTCCCATCCCCTTCAAATGAGGTAATACACACCATCTGATATACTATGGTACACAAGCAATGAACTTTTTTGTTAAACCTTGTAAACGTCTTGTGAATAGGGCCTTCAACTTATGTGTGTGTGTTAAAAGAATGACTGTAGCTTCTATTATCCTGTTTGTCATTAAAAAAATTTTTTTTCCTTTTAATATACTTAGAAGCCTCAAAAAATAGAACTAAGCCAAGTTTCTCATAATTTTTGGAGGCCCAAGAAAGATAACTGGTTGGTAATACACTTTTGAGAATTCATCAGCACCCAGATCTTGGTGAATTGAAACAAAGGGAGTGGAGGGGCTCGCCCAAGAGAGCTCCTTTAGGAGAAAAGAGGGTTCTAGAACCAGCACATTTAAGGGACTCCCTAAAGAGCCACCTATAAAGAGGGCTGATTAGAAATGGCTAAAGATATAGGAGAAAACAAGTGAAATGAAGTCGGGGAAATATGGCCACCAAGGGGTGGAAAGGAAAGTCAGGAAGACACAAGTGAAGACTGCGTTTGTCAGAGGAATTAATCAACAGCGTCAAATAATCGCTGATTTTCCCCGGTCAGCACCAACCAGAATAATTCTGCCAACTCCCCTTTCTCCTTTCCCCCTGGTATTGTTTATACATCACTTTTAACTCTTTTTACAGGATTTTAACCGGTGGTTTACAGTTTATGTCCTCCAACTGGATGGCTCCAGGAGCTGGTGATGGACCGGCAGGCCTGGCAGGCTGCGGTTCATGGGGTATCCAAGAGTCCGCTACGACTGAGCCACTGAACTGAACTGAACTGGATGGCTCAAGCAGGAGGTCTGAATCTTACTCATTTCCCTTTCTAAAGCCTTATGCCTCCTGCTCAATTAATATCACTGAAACAAGTCGAAGAAAATTTGAAAAACCACCCCCGACCCCACCCCCGAACAAAGATCTTATCTTTCAACCTAGAGCAGCCAAATTTCCCTGGACACGACCAACTGCGCAGGCGCAGAGGCAGACCGCCCAGCTTTCTCAGAGCTTTGCATTTGGCGCGAAATCTCCGCTCCGTGGGCGGGGCTGAGAGAGAAGCCGCATTCATTGGACAGGTTTGGCGCGAATCCCGGGGCTCCTGAGCCACGATTGGTTCCGGCCTTCCAGCGAAGGGGCGGGACGGAGGCGGCGCGCGCAGAGCGGCCCGGCGGAGGAGAAGCAACTGTAGTGTGGCGCCAGCTGCCCTTTAGCGTTAGGCAGATATGGATCTCGCTGCAGCGGCAGAGCCGGGTGCCGGCAGCCAGCATCTGGAAGTCCGCGATGAGGTGGCCGAGAAGTGCCAGAAACTGTTCCTGGACTTCTTGGAGGAGTAAGTCGGCGGTCGCCCCTTAATCGCGGAACTTCCCCTCCCGGCTTCCGGAGTCTGGGGCCGCCTAGGGCCTCGCGCGCGTTTGGGTACTGAGGGGTCGCGCGCCTTGGAGAGCGGGCCCCGGGGAGGAGCCTGGGCCGGGCTGGGCTGATCTCCAGGGTTGGTGAAATTCATCTGGAGCCCTGCCTCGGGCTCCTGCCGTGTGCTGTGTCCTGGGCCGAACGCTTAGGCCCGTTGTTCAGCCCTCACAGCCCGAAAGGCTGGTGGTCGCGTAGCCCCGGGTTCCCTGTGCGGACGCCGAAACTGGGTGGGAATGAGTTAGTCGTCCAGTTAGGCCGCACGGCTGAGTCGTGGGGGGAGGCCGAACTGGCTGGGGAATCCTGGCGGGGACCTCATGGGGTCCACCGAGGGCCAGGCAGCCCTGGAGCCTGTGGAGGTGAATGTGCGGGAATGAACCTGGTGCTTGACAGATGCTCGGGTTAGGGGCCGCCCTGCGTTGCTTACGACACTGAACGCACTCCCATCTCTCGCTTCTTTCCCTTCCAACCCCCCAAATCCCTCTTTTCTTTCTTTCTTTTTTTTTCCCTGTTTTTTTGTTTTTTTTTTTAGGCTCCAGGCATCTCAAACCGCTTCTCTCTGGCTTGCAGCCACTGCCACCAGTTACTTTTCTTAGATCGCGCAGAATATCGCTGCTTTCCCCTGAGTATGGACTCTACCGCTTCCAGGAAAAAGTGGAAGCACTTTGGAATGAGTTAGGAAAAAAATTTTTATAAGAAAGAGCTCAGCTTTTTAATGTGATCATTTTTTGCATTTGTAGTACTCTTCGATGACATCCTTGGCCTGAGATTCTGCAATAGTCCTAAAAAAATTATATACGATTTTACTAATATTTAGAAGCTCTACTAAGTTGTCAGCATTAGTTATACTGAAGCTTTAAAAAATTAGCACCATGTCTTATGAAAATACTTTCCATCATTAAAGTTTCTTGTGGCTATCCTTAGGGACCTTAATGACTTAAGTATCTTTAAGCATAACATAACAGGAAATTCTTTTGTTGTGGTGGTGGTGGTGGTAAAAACCCGTTTTAACCTTTTTTAAACATAGAGTTCACTGATGTTAAGTACATTTGCCTTGTAATATAGTCATCACTAACATCCATCTCCAGAAGCTTTTCTTCTTTCCAAACTCTGCACTCACTAAACAATAATTCACCATTCCCCCCACTCTCCAGCACCTGGCAACCACCTCTGTTTTCTGTCTGTGAATTGGACGACTCCAGGTACCTTAGACTTCCCGTTATACAATATTTGTCCTTTTGTGACCAGCCTACTTCACTTAGCATAATGTCTTTGAGGTTTATCCATGTTGTAGCATGTGCCAGAATTTTCTTTTTAAGGGTGAATAGTACTCATTATTACGTTTCATTTGTTTACTCATCCATCCATGGATATATGGGATATTTCCACACTTCTACTGTTAATGGTTCTGCTGTCTTAATAAAATTCTGATATACTTAATACCATAGTTTATATTTCCCTACTTTTCATAATATTATTCTCTGCCTGATAACTATTCATCCTTCAAAGCCTAGTTAAAGATTCATAGCTGTTTGTTAAACTCTATGAACCTTTCAGGCAGCACTGATCCTTTCTTCCCCTATGGTCCCAGGCTGCCACTTTCCATTACCTCTGGTTGTGTATCTACTGCCAGCTATTTCATCTGAATGTGAATCCCATGCTTAATCCCACCTAGCCACCATACCATTTTACGAAGGTCCTCAACTATGTTTGATATTAACAAATAATATAGTTACCTTCACTTTCTTGCAGTTTGCCTTGCAGCTAACTGCTGGGCACAATGATGAATAAGACAAATAATCCTTGTTGAGAAAAAAATGTTAACTCCCTCTAAAAATACCAGCTTTCATTTGCCATTCCTTATGAAATAAAGTCCAAATACTTCACAGCTGCTCTTTCTAGTTTCATCTTCCACAGCCATTCTGTCATCACCCACAGTCCTCCCATATCTTTCCTGACTGTCCTATACTTGGAAACATCTGTAGCCAGTCTATCACTCATTTTTCCTTTCAGATTTTTTAAAAGTCTTTCCAGGCCAAATTCCAGTGCCACCTGTTATAGGCATAAAGCGTTTTTAGGTGTTACTGTTAGGCAAAATTAGTTTATATGCACCTGTCATATATCTTTCACCTTTTGTTTTCCTTTATGTGGAAAGAACACTTAACATGCGAGCTACCCTCTTAACAAAATTTTAACTGTACAATGTATTGTTCAGTAGATTCTGTTAGAACTTATCGATCTTGCTTCACTAAAGCTTTTTTTTAACTTTCATAATTTTTATTTATGTTTTGTTTTTAATATTGTGTTAGTTTCTGCTATACATCAACATGAATCAGCCATAAGTACACACATGTCCCCTCTCTCTTGAACCTCCCTCTCACCTCCCACCCCATCCCACCCCTCAAGGTTGTCACGGAGCACCAGGTTTGAGCTCCCTGCATTATACAGTAAATTCCCACTGCTGTCTGTTTTACATATGGTAATATGTATGTTTCACTGTTAACTCTTTCAGTTTGTCCCGCCCTCTTCTTCCCACACTGTGTCCACAAGTTGTTATCTTTGTGTCTCCATTGCTGCCCTGCCAATAGATTCATCAGTACCATCTTTCTAGATTCTGTATATATGCCTTAATAAACAATGTTTGTTTTTCTCTTTCTGATTTCACTTTGTTTAATAGGCTGTAGGTTCATCCATCTCATTAGTATCGATTCAAATGCATTTCTTTTTATTGACTGAAACTATGCCTGTAATACCTCCACATTTTCCTTTTCCTCCAACCAACATTCCACTCTTTGATTCTATGAATTTGACCTTTTTTTTTTGGTCTTCACCCCATGACTTATGTGATGTTAATTTCCTGACCAGGAATTGAACCCCAGGCCCACAGCAGTGAAAGCACAGAGTCCTAACCACTGAACTGCTAGGGAATTCCCAAATTTGACTCTTTTAGATACCTCATATAAGTAGAATCATGCAATATTTGTCTTTGTGTGATTGGATATTCATTGGAAGGACTGATGCTGAAGCTGAAACTCCAGTACTTTGGCCAACTGATGCAAAGAACTGTCTCATTTGAAAAGACCCTGGTGCTGGGAAAGATTGAAGGCAGGAGGAGAAGGGGATGACAGAGAAGGAGATGGTTGGATGGCATCACCAACTCAATGGACATGAGTTTGAGTAAACTCTGGGAATTGGTGATGGACAGGAAAGCGTGGCCTGCTGCAGTCCATGGGGTCGCAAAGAATCAGACACGACTGAGCGACTGGACTGGACTGGACTGAATTGGTTTCTTTCACGTAGCACCATGTCCTCAAGATTCATCCACATTGAGATATTGCAGAGTATCCTGTTTGAAGACTGAGTAAACATATAGAGTAACATGGAAACTTAGATTACCACGTGTGAAATAGATAGCCAATGGGAGTTTGCCGTATGACTCAGGGAACTCACACTGGGGCTCTGTAACAAGCTAGAGGGGCAGGGTGGAGAGGGAGGTAAGAGGGAGGAAACACATGTATACCTGTGGCTGATTGCAAGTAGATGTTTGGCAAAAACCAACAAAATTCTGTAAAGCAATTATCCTTCAATGAAAAAATAAATTTTAGAAAAAGATTGAATAAACATTTTGTTGATTCATTTGTCTTAGACATTTAGATGTCTTATCCGTCTCTTTAATAGAAATGTCTCCTATGAGAGTGTCAACCCTAGGAGAAGAGCAATGCTGTTATTGCCAACTTATGGTACCTCTGGTATAGTGCTTTCCAGAGAGATGTTCATAATGTATTAAACAACATGCTGTATTTGAAGGAATAGTTTAGTTTTCCTCAAAACTATCTGCATGGCTATGTTAAAAGAATAAAAAGTAAATATGTTAGTATGATACTTGTTAGGAAAAAGCACCCCAGTTTTACTTTGTATGTATGTACATTTTCACTTCCCTGAGGTCTTGAGCCCTGAAGCACCTCGTTTCCATGTATTTATTGATATTCTTGTTCTTAAATCAACAATCTGTCAGTTTTCCCTTTCGAAATTGAATCTTTGGATTATAACCTGAGTTTTTTTATTTAATATTTTCTAATCAACAAATGTTAACTGTTCTTTTATTGTTGTTATGTACAGTTAAGATTGGGAAATGGTAAATCAAGAAATTCAGATTTGGGACTTCCCTTGTGGTCCAGTGGTTAAGAATCCACCTTGCAATGCAAGGGTTGTGGGTTTGATCCCTCGTCAGGGAACTAACATCCCACGTATCATAGAACTACTAAGCCTGTGGGCCTCAACTACTGAGCCAGCCAGCACACCACAACTAGAAAGTATGTGCTGCAAAAAAAGATCCCACGCAACACAGTGAAGATCCCACATGCCACAACTAAGACCCAATGCGGCTAAATCAATAAATATTGGGGGGGGCGGGATTCAGATTTAAATCTGAAGACCTAGTTTTTCTATTTTCCCAAGTTTACAAAAGATTTCGTAGGCATTCTCTCATTTAATCATGACAGTTAACCTTAGAGGATCATGTTCCAATCTTTTTTATTATTATTATATTCAAAAAGAAGAGGGACAGGTTTAGAGAAGACAGGTAACTAGCCTTAAGGTGTACAACTACTAAAGTGGGCCTCTCTGGCCCTAAAGCTGATGATCTTTAACCAGTACCCCGAATTATCAGGCATTCAGATTCTTCTTTTTACTGCCTAATTTCAGTTTCATCTGATTTGTATGTATCTGCAGGTTCCAGAACAGCGATGGAGAAATTAAGTACTTGCAGTTAGCTGAGGAGTTAATTCGTCCTGAGAGAAACACGTTGGTTGTGAGTTTTGTGGACCTGGAGCAATTTAACCAGCAACTTTCTACCACCATTCAAGAGGAGTTCTATAGGTATGGTATATTAATCTTTAAGTAGACATGGAACCTGGGAAGCCACCTCTTGTTGGAATGGAAGTGTTAATTTGTGAGGATAAAGGGAGGGCAGGTGTCACAGAAGCCCTTTTTTACAGCCAGTGGTCATTTTAGTGCTGCTCTGAGCTAATTTAGGCCTTTGTGGGGTTGACTAGTTTTCACATGCAAATATTGAAAATCTCTGCTTTCTATTGATAGTTTTTCCAAGTGTTAAGAGAATTGCTTATTTTGTGTCAGGCATTCGGTACTATTGCTGTGTCATTCATTTAATCCATTCCCCATCCCATATTATATAAAATCCCTTGAAACATTTTAAAAGCCAAAGAATATTTGGGGGGCAGAAGTTAGACATTAGGCTTTTAATCTGCTTTTTATTGCTATATAAAGCAAGAAACATCTTTCTACACAGAATTCTGTCTTCATTTGGATTAAATAAATGTGACAATCTGTATAAATAAAATCAGGTTAAAATAAACACTGTGGACAGTTATGAAGGAGAAATGAAGACCCAGGAATAAGGAGTCACAGTCCTGTTTTTTCACCTGGTGGACTGGGAGATGGGTTTGTCTCAGTGTTTCTAGTTATATCTGACTATCAAGAATGGCTAGAAGGATAAGCAGTAGAATTTATTGTGAATGTATGCAGTAGGAAAAGTTGTCCTGACAAGTGAGAGGGAGGTAGAAAATTGGGCTGATGGTAGAAACACCTACGTCCATACCTCATGCACAGACTCTGCTGCACAGTTCTGTCTCCTGAGAGTAGCTGATCCTTCAGAGGACTTCCAGATCCTACTGCGTAAGCCAAGCTACTGCAGCTGTTTAAAACTTAACTCAAAAAAAAAAAACTAAAAAAAACTTAAGGGGACCTGTACACACCCACCTAACCAGTTAGGTGAAACGTTTCTGCCAACTTGCTCTCACATCAGTACACAGATTCCTTCCCTACCCTTATCCATTTCCTGTCAATCAAGAATTAAGCCTAGAAGAATATACTAGGCCTTGACACCAAATGGGAGGCTGCTTTGCTATTAAAAGGTAGTACACTACCCAGGTTCAAGAAGAGTAATCTTGGACAGAGGAGTGGTCTGTGGTGTGCCTACTAAATGATTATTTAAAAATTATAGATATCAAGGAATAGCACTTTATATTTGGTGTTTGTGTTATCTTAGATGTATTTGTGGTGTAATAGAGGATTAAAGAGGTTCCTGGACCAGATGATAGAAGAGTCCTGAATAATTACATTCTAAAGCTTGGATGTAATCAGATGAAATTCCTTGGTTTCAGCTATTGGGAAGCATGAAAGGGAAAAGAGGGCTTGGTAAGCCTCTTAAAGTTGTAAGTTGATTTTCTTCTTGTTTGCTTTTCAGAGTTTACCCTTACCTATGTCGAGCCTTGAAAACCTTTGTCAAAGACCGTAAAGAGATCCCTCTTGCCAAGGATTTTTATGTTGCATTTCAAGACCTACCTACCAGACACAAGTAAGAAACTCTTTGAAAGGAAAAAGAATTCACTGAATAGTATAGCTGTCACTTGTCAGAAAGCTCAGAAGGTTGTAATCTTATATCTGTAAAGAGTTATACCCACTTATCCAGAACATTTAGTTTTGGAAAAATCTATATTTCCAGGGAAATGGAAAGGGAAGTAAGTTAGGTAAAGTCATTTCTAGGGATTATAATACTTTAGGACACCTTTTAAGGGATGTTTACGTGAAAGCTTAATTTAGAGAGAAAATATGAAAAATGAGAGCAGTCACAAAAAGTAATGAATTGTCAAGAGCTTAAATAGCATAACTTTTAAACTGTTCTCCTCTTTAGCAATTTTTTAAAGAATAAATTTATTGGAGGAAATTAAAGTGATATTTTGAAAACTTTACTAAAATTACCTATAAAGTTATCAAGTTATTTACTATAAAATGAGTTTCTGAAATAAAGTGTTTTCTAAACCTTCAAGTTCAAACAAGTTTGCCCCCATGACAACTGTACAATAAAAATACTTATTTAGAAATATAGGTCAGCAGAAAATATATTTGCGTGTGTGCTCTGTCACACAGTTGTGTCCAACTCTTTGTGATGCCATAAACTGTGGCCTACCAGGCTCCTCTGTCCCTGAGCTTTTTCCCAGCAAAAATAACTGGAGTGGGTTGCCATTTCCTCCTCCAAAGGATCTTCCCAGTCCAGGGGTCAAACACACATCTCCTGCATTGCATACAGAGTCGTTACCACTGTGCCATCTGGGAAGCCCCTGTTTTATAATTGTAATTGCATTTCTTTCATGTCCTTTACTTAGGATTTTTGGTGGCTTTTTTGTTTTTTTGGTTTTTTATTATTATTATTCATTTATGTATTTTGTTGTGATGCATGTACATTATACTTCAGGAATGGGCATGTTGACTAAATCACTCTTTTAGGAGAGTCTAAAGAATACCTTGTCTCTTATTGTTTTAAGCATAAATTGTCTTTGACTATCCTCTCATTAAAAGTGAATATTTTTAGTTTGGAAATGAACATTTACTAATGCAGTATCTTTCTTTAAACAGAATTCGAGAGCTCACCTCATCCAGAATTGGTTTGCTTACTCGCATCAGTGGGCAGGTGGTACGGACTCACCCAGTTCACCCAGAGCTTGTAAGCGGAACTTTCCTGTGCTTGGACTGTCAGACAGTGATCAAGGATGTGGAACAGCAGTTCAAATACACACAGCCAAACATCTGTCGAAATCCAGTTTGTGCCAACAGACGGAGATTCCTGCTGGATACAAATAAATCAAGATTTGTTGATTTTCAAAAGGTATTCTGTTTAGATCAGATTCAGCCTATGCTAATAATTCACTTCTAGGCACTTGTAATTATTATTATAAGTTTAACTTAGGCAATGTTGTAATTGCCTAAAGATCCGTAACTTACATAAAAACTACAAGTTTAAGCTAAATGTCTTGCAAATTTCAATTATCAGTATATAATGTGTTCTAACTTTTAGTATCTTGGAAGCTCCTTCAGACAAATAAAACATATTTGTCAAAGAATAAACAGTAACTTGTTATTAGTTATCACTATAAGTTAGAGTTATGGAAACTGAGACTTGGTATAAGATTTGGAGATGGTGGTTAAGCAGGAGGAAGCATAAGTAAAAGGACAGGTGAAAATGGACATGCTTGTCAGTAGCTGTGGGGATTATCATGATTAAAGTAGAAGAACCAAATTGGAGATCATCTGAGAGATGATTTGGTATGAGGCATGGAAGTACTTGGATCCTCAAATTGAGAAGTTTGGACCTGTTTTGAAAAGCAAGAGGAATACATTTTCAGATATGTATTTTTCTTTGTTTCAGGAAGATTAATGGGACAACAGTGGTAGTATTTAACTAGAGACTAACAAGCAGTTATGGTTACCTGGGCAAGAGATAGATGGTAGCAGTTAAGAATGAAGGGGCTAAGTCTCTTCAGGACTGAGTAACTCTGGAATATGCAAGGAGGAAAGAAAAGTTGCAGTAGCTCAAGCACTAGAAGAATGAGTACCAGACTGAAATAAGTAATATTAAATTCAACTTTTAGTCTTTACTTAGTTTTCTTGTATTATTTTGATACTTGGTTAGTAAGAAGCCTGTACTCTACCGACAACTTTGGGTAAGAGATGCTTTGTATCTGATAAAGAACTTGATATAAAAACCAAATACCAAAATATGAATTTAGGTTGTGGGGGGAAACAGCTGTAATAAAGGACATTCTTGACAATTGGGGAAATACGAAAGTGGACTGGATAATAGAAGACATGGAATTAAATACTTCTTGATGTGATTGATGGCATTGTGGTTACATAGGAGATTGTCTTTATTCTTAGGAGATGAGTGCTTTAATGTTTAGGGGTAAAATACCTTGATTTTTGCAACTTCTTTCAAATAATATAGTAAACATGTGTATCTTAAGTAATGTTAACAGTTGCACTGAGGTGGAGAGTATTATAGATGTGAATTTTTCATAAAGTTTCCCTGACAATTTAGAGGAGGATGGGACCCAAAGCACAAAGTAAATTTCAACAAAGTGAACAAAATATGTATTGTTTAATGAGAGTAAAAGTGAAGTTGCAGTTTTTAAATAGATGTAATATCTTACCAAATTGAAAAGAGTTTTATGGTAGAGAATTTTTAAGATGAATGTTGACACATGTCAAAAGTCTGCCAACTAGTAAGATAATTTAGGATATATCAATATTTGTGCATTTAATTAAGATCACATGGCACTTGAAAGAGATCTCATCCTTGGCCATTTATTTGTCTCTGTTATAGGTTCGTATTCAAGAGACTCAAGCTGAGCTTCCTCGAGGGAGTATCCCCCGTAGTCTAGAAGTGATCTTGAGGGCTGAAGCTGTGGAGTCAGCTCAAGCTGGTGACAAATGTGACTTTACAGGGACGCTGATTGTTGTGCCTGACGTGTCTAAGCTTAGCACACCAGGTCAGTAATCTGTGGCTCCAGTTTAACAAATTCTGTTATTGCAGAACATCTAGCTTCTTGCCTCTTCCTTATTTTTGGCTACCAATCAGAGTGAGCAAGGAACTATAATGCTAACAAAGACTAACTGGTTTTGCTACAGAACCTACTGTTCTGAAATTTTCAAAGCTGAAATGAAATTTTTAGATTTTTAAGTTTCATTTATCTGAGCAATTTTGATTATCAGTACCTTCAGTATTTGAGCTATGAAACAACCTATCATTTAATGTTTCAGGAGCACGTGCAGAGACTGATTCCCGTGTGAGTGGTGTTGATGGATATGAGACAGAAGGTGTTCGAGGCCTCCGGGCCCTTGGTGTTAGAGACCTTTCATACAGGCTGGTTTTTCTTGCCTGCTGTGTTGCACCAACCAACCCAAGGGTGAGTGTCTTAGTAGAATGGCAAAGCTTCAGAAAGACATTACCTGAGGCCGCTGCAAATTCAGTGTTAAAGACAAGTGTTTGGGTTGAGATTTACGCTTTAGTTCTAAAACCAGATTTTTTGGTGCCTTGTCTTCCTGACCTTAAGGAAAAGTGTTACTTATTTTTGTGTGTTAAAATTCAGTGCTTTAAGCACATTGGTGTTATATTACTAATGGTGGTTTTTCTGGAGGTGGGGGTGGTCTTGTTTGTTTTTTAATTGTTACAGTTCCTCTGTCATACTCCTTGAGAAAGTACAAATAGAAAAATTTTGTAATCTGGGAAATAGCTTATAAATTACTCTTCCTGAGAGTGATTGACCCCTGGTATTATAGTTGTTGAGAACTTTATTTTGTTTGCAGGATGGGAAAGCAGTGAGAAAAATTTTGGAAAATAGTCCAGTGTTGGGAAATGAGGAGTGAACATAATATTCTGTGCATTCTCATCTTCATAACAATGATTACCATTTTATTATGGCTCATCTCTTGAGCATCTGGATTCATTTAGATAGCAGTGCAAAACAATGGTAGCTTTTTTTGTTATTTATAAATCACTGGACAGATGACAAGCTCCTTGGAATCCTGGTTAACTTAGGCCATACTGCTTAGATTTTTTGTTTTTAAACCTTTACAGTCAACAGATTTTGACCTCCCAGGATGTATTTTGTTTGTGGTGATGTTTCTTATCTTTCGCTTTATTTTGACTATTTTTATACTACTATTTTTTTCCTGTCTTCTCCCCCTCAGTTTGGAGGAAAAGAGCTCCGAGATGAGGAACAGACAGCTGAGAGCATTAAGAACCAAATGACTGTGAAGGAGTGGGAGAAAGTGTTTGAAATGAGTCAAGATAAAAATCTGTACCACAATCTTTGTACAAGCCTGTTCCCTACTATACATGGTAAGAAGTCTATCTGTGAAATAAGCTTGAAGTCAAAGTACTGTTTGTAAAACAGCAACATGTAACTTCTTAAAATACATAAATCAGATGTTAAAAGGTTTTTAGTGGGCTTAGACGGGATTTTAAAACGTCATTTATAAAAGGACAGATATTACATGATTCCAGTTAAAATGAGATACTTAAAATAGGTAAATTCATAGAGAGAGAAAGTAGAAAAAGATTACCTGCTGAGGAGAGAAATAGGGAATTGTTTAATGGATAGAATTTGTGTTTGGGGTTATGAAAAGTCCTAGAAGTGAATGGGTGATGGTTGTAAAAGATAGTGAATGTACTTAATTCCACTGAACCCCTTAAAAGTGGTTGCAGTGGTTAATTTTATGTTGTGTGTATTTTGCCAGTTTTCTTTTGAAAAAAGAAAAAGTCATTTAGTCGTCTTTTTCGGACTTTAGGACAAAACTGCATGTAAGAGTGTTCTGATATGCCAGATTAATATCCTGATCTCTTTTTTTTCTGGTTAGTTTTCACAATGGGAAGAGATTTCTTTTTTTTTTTTTTTTTTTGGTTATATGTACTGTGCCTAAGCCTGGCGTGCTGCAGTTCATGGGGTCACAAAGAGTTAGACACAGCTTAGTGACTGAACAACAACTATGCCTATATCTTGTGGTTTCTACTTTCACACTTTCTTAGCTCTTGGTTACTAGCTGCTCACTGTCATTAAATCCCCTTGCACATTGAAGGATGTGACTATCTTTTCAGGTCTCATGCTTTATTTTTTTTTTCCATCCCTCCATATTCAGTTGAAGTAATGGCAAGAGTTAATAAGATTATGGTTATTTGCCTTAGGTATGTAGTTTTAATCATTGAAAATTAACCTTTTTCTCTGCTTAAATATTTGGTCAGTGAAATTGAACTGAAATCCTTAATGTTAATAATCCTTTGTGGATTTTAGCGTATCCTCCCTTACAATGAGTGGGTATCAAATTTTTATACTGTTCCATTCTCCCACCATAAGTTAATCCATTGCTATGTAACAAATTATCCCAAACTTAATGGCTTAAAACAGCAAACATTATCTTATATAGTCTGTCAGTCAGGAATTTGAGAGAGACTTAGCTGTGTGGTCTTGGTCAGTCTTTGTAGATTTTGTAGCCAGGATGTCACCTAGGGCTGTAGTCATCTGAAGACTTGACGTGAGCTGGAGGATCCACTTACAAGGATCCACTCACTGCTTATCTGTTAGTGCTTGTTAGCTGGAAGCCTCAGTTCCTTACTGCATGAATCTCTTCACCGGACTATTCCAATGTCCTCATAGCACAGCAGCTGGCTTCCTTCAGAGCATGCAGTCCAACAGAGCAGAGCAAGGAGGAAGCAAAATGCGTCTCAGGACCTAGTGCTGGAAGTTATACACCTTCACTTCCACCATATGCTATTTGTGGGAACCAAGTTACTAAGCCCAGCCACACTTACGGAGAGGAGAATTTTAAGCTCCATCTAGAAATGAGGATTATCAAGTAATTTGTGGGCTATTTTAAACTACCACACCTCCAATGCATTTGTTTCATACAGGTTATAAGTCAGAAAGTTTGTTTTTGGAATGGATTTTAAATTTTCTGCTTCTAAGGAAATTTTCTGCTTTGTGTACATGTGCCAGCATTTCGTTCATGGCATTCACAGAAAGTCATAATAATTAAGACAGAAGAATGTTTCTTCCAATATCACATTTCTAAAATTTGGTGTTGTGTGTGTTTTTTTTTTATTTTTTCTTTTCGTTCTTCCTTTCAAAACCAGTTCTTAGAAGCAGCTGTAGGTCACATTCAGCATCTTGCCTAATTCATATCAGTTCAGTTAGCTTGTATTTATATTCAGCATGGGTCACTATTCCTTATACAAAAGAGGTAAGTCATGGATCATTTCCTGAAACTCTTGATAGAGCTGTATAACCTGCAGTTGGAAAGAACTAACAAATATGGTAGGCTGTAGTGGACATAGTTTATTTGTGGGGAGGGGTATTTGAGAACTGTGACATAGAGAAAGACTTTGTGTAGGAAGCAGGACTTATAGACAAGGAAAGACTCTTAGATTGGTGAGCATCAGCATCTGTTTCAGGTGAAGGTATTAGTACAGTGATTAGGTGACTTTGCATTCATAGGACGAGAACAAAGATCAAGGTGAGAAACCAGATAGATATTTTTACTCTGGTCTTAGCTTTGCTTCAGCTGCCTTTGCTTTTGGTTGGTAAACATGCCTTTGTAGTGTCCTGTGAAATTGTTTAAACTCATGTTGAAAAATACCTTGGGTTTTTATTTCAGGTAATGATGAAGTAAAACGGGGTGTCTTGCTGATGCTCTTTGGTGGTGTCCCAAAGACAACAGGGGAAGGGACCTCTCTTCGAGGGGATATAAATGTTTGCATTGTTGGTGACCCAAGTACAGCTAAGAGCCAGTTTCTCAAGTAAGTGTTTGCCTGAGATAGTACAACAAAGAAAATAATACGCATAGTTGCAGGCTTTCAAAAACTCTCGTTAAAGTACACCTTAATTCGTTAAGGAGAACGTAACAACATTTTACAGATTTTGGAATAAGTAAAAATTGTAATTACATTCCCACACAGAATTCTTTTAATCTTTGTATTAAACTCTTTGAATGTATGAATATATATATATATCCATGGTTATAAGTCACAGCATGCATATTTTTAATTTTAATTAATACCTTAAATACTTTTCGATGTTTCTCTATTTTCACAATGGTTTTTTGTTGGCATATTATAGCTTAAAAGATAATTCCCCTACCCTGATATTAGACAGTTTAACAGAGTAACTTATTTTAATGATCAAATACAGTGAACATCATAATGTGTATACGTTTTTATTTTATTATTTTCCTTTGGGTAAATTCCTAGGCATAGGATTGCTGAGGTTAAGAATACAAATGTCTTCACGGTTCTTATACAGGACACAATTTCCAGAAACAGTGTGATAAAGATGAGGCATTTTATGCTGAACTTACCAATATGAAGTTAGCAATTTCTGCTAATTTTTATTAATTTTTTTTCTGCTAATTTTTAAAAGCTATAAATACTTGCTTACTTTCAGACTTTTAAGAAACTTAGAGGTCAAGATAATGGCAACCAGTTTTTGAGCACCTCTTGTGTTCTTGGTGCTGTGTGTGTCTGTGTATGTGTGTATGTGTATTATGTCATGTCCTGCCAGCATTCAGACAGGTATATAATATTCTCTTTTTTTCCAGGGAGGCAAACAAAACTCTGAGTCTCAGTAAATTGTCTAATTCCTTAGAGCTGACAGGTGGCTCTAAGCCATGAATATTAGAATTCAGCCTTTGATTGCAAAGCATGTGCTCTTCATACTGTATCAAGCTGCCTTTCCTTTATTTGGGAAATTTTTAACTTGGCAGTGTTCTAGAACATAAAATTTTTAGCTGGAGCTTTAAAATTAAATATTATTTCCTTCAAGTATATCATGGACTGAGTTCTAGACTTGAAGATAATAGTCCTGTGTTAAATGAATTCTCTTTATTTTTCTTCATTTCTGTTGCTCCTGCCTCCCATCTCTCCATCACCACCACAAAAGATGTACTAGTGTTGCCTCTGAGCAGTATTGTATTGTACCTGATTATATTTGCTTTTTAACAATATTAAGTCTTCTGATCCATGAACATGGGTTATCTTTCCATTTATTTAGGTCATCTTTAATTTCAGTAATGCTTTGTAGTTTTCAGTGTATGTGCTGTGCTTCTTTTATTAAATTTATTCCTAAGTATTTTATTCTTTATGATGCTAATATAAATGGAACTGTTTTCTTAGATTCATTTTTGGGTTGTTGCAAGTGTGTGAAAATACAACTATTGGTCTTTTATCTTGCAACATGAACAAACTGATTTATTCTGTTTTAGTGGACTTATTAGTTGTGTTTTAGTGGATCTAACTTGTCTGCAAGATCATGTTAAATGCAAATAGTGATAGTTCTTTTTTCTTTCAAATATGGGTGCCTTTTTCTTTTTCTTGCCTAATTGCCCTGGCTGAATCTTTCAGTGTAATGTTGAATAGAAGTGGCAGGAATAGACCCATAAGTCTTATTCCTGTTCTTAGGGGAAAAGCATTCAGTCTTTTACTAGATAAGTATGATGTTAGCTGTGGGTTTTCATAGATACCCTTTAGCAGGTTGAGGGAAAGCCTCTTCTAATTAGTTGAGTTTTTGTCATGAGAGGGTATTAGATTTTTTCACACTTTTTGCATCTATTATAATGCTTCTTATCTTTTTTAATATGGCATATTACTGTTTCTTAGTTGTTAAGCCAACTTACCTTTTTGGAATAAATTTCACATCTATTTTATTTTTTTTGTTGTTGTTGTTTTTTGTTTGTTTGTTTGTCTTCATTTTTTAAGTGCAAGGTCTTCTGGTTTACTTCTGGATTACTGGTGCCAAACTGTTAATTGATGTTTTTGTCATGTATGAATTTCATCTTCCTTTGACAGGAATGGATTTAGCCTATTCAGAAGACCAAAGGAGAAAAGACTTTCTATTTGGTCTATGGCATATATCTTTATTGCATTTTTTTAATGCCTTTTCCAAATGTTCTCTTAAATTCTTACTTGATGTAAATTCTTAATTGATGTAAACTGTATCAAGCTGATAATCCTGAAAAGGATGCTTTGTAATCATATATTAATGAATATGATAACCTTGAACAGGCACGTAGAGGAATTCAGTCCCAGAGCTGTCTACACCAGTGGCAAAGCGTCCAGTGCTGCTGGCTTAACGGCAGCTGTTGTGAGAGATGAAGAATCTCATGAGTTTGTCATTGAGGCTGGAGCCTTGATGCTGGCTGATAATGTAAGAACATTTTACCTAATTAGATACAAAGAAATCAGAATACCCCCTACCCTATCAATAAAGACCTATAAGTTTCTATTAAGGTGTTCTTTTTCAAGAAAAAATAAAATACTTTCAGTGAATAATTTATGGTTTTATTAATCTAGAAATTGGGATTATAATCATTAGTCAGCACTTTCTGAACTTCTGTAGACTATATTGCCTGCCCTGAGCTTGTTTGCTATGACTAGTATGTCTCAGCACTTTCTCCTTTCTAGACTGTGATACATCTGTGAGTATATCTATTGCATTTTGCATGTATTTGTCATAGATCAGTTAGATCTGTGAATGCATGTAAATTGAGCTGTATATACTTAGAAACATTATGTTCCAACTTCATCCTTCACTTTAAGCCTAAAATCAACACTGAGGTGATCCAGAATGTTTTGACCCTGAGATTTACACATTTGGATGTTGAATAAAAGTGCAATAGGTAACTGCCTGTTTTTAGTTTTACCTTTAGTTTAAAGTTTAAAATGAGTTGTAAGTTGTATGGTTCCCTTGGGGATCTTATACTGTCTTACTCTAGTAGAGGGAATTGGAATTGCTTACTTACCTTAGTTGTTTAAAGTCACTATGGTAGCAAACTTTGAGTTTCCTTGCCGTTTGACATCTGAAAGGAAGTTTCTTATACCAGGCTTATTTGATTACAGGGTGTATGTTGTATTGATGAGTTTGATAAGATGGATGTGCGGGATCAGGTTGCTATTCATGAAGCTATGGAACAGCAAACCATCTCTATCACCAAAGCAGGAGTGAAGGTATGTGTGTCCACTTCTGTTCCACTCCATCATGCCTTAGCCTTGTAGACTTCTGTAGCTCTGGAGGTGATCACTTAGATAAAATGCATTAATTACTTCAACATGAAATGCTGTTAATTGAAATGGAAAATATAGCCCTTAGGATTAATCCAAATTACAGGTGATGGGGGCATAGCTCAGGGATAGAGCACTTGACTACAAATTACAGGTGCTGTTAAAGGTACTGTGAAAATTGTTATTACACAAAGAAGAGGAAGTAATAGTGAAATTTTTAGCTCTTTCAAAATTTCCACAAAGCTTCTCTGTAGTCTGCTACAGTGTGCTTCCAATTGTAACAGAAATAAAATTGACAAATCATTTAAATGGAAATAATAAGTACAATATTGTTGGGGTCCTTTAATGGACCGGAACCTGGTGGTATGGAGTTGACGATAAGAAAGTAAAAGAGAGAAAGAGAAAAAAGACCCGGGGACCTAAGCTCTGATGGAGCAAAGGTGCTTTAATGATTTCTCTATGAGTATATATAGGCTGTGGTACAAGAAACTTCTTTCGGGAATGATAGAGATCGGAAAACCAAACGTATAGCAACCGTTACCAAGGGAACAAGGGGTAATGTTAGTCACAAGGTCAGGAGACAATCCATATCTCAAGAAAGGGGAACGAGACTAAGCAGTTTTGTCTTAAAGAGAATGTTTACCAAAGGAGACCCAAGCCTGCCTCACACAATGACCTCAGTCCCTGGGAGCAGCGTGCTGTTCGCTTGAAGAGGGACAGAGGACTCATGAGAGACGGCATGTAGGAATCCTCCCGTCAAACACTCCCTGACACAATATTGTAATTATCATTAGAGAGAAATACATCTTTAAAAATAAAAGTAATACATTCAAATAGTTAAGAAAAATGTAAGAGGTAAATGTAAATTAAAAAGAGAAATCTTCTCTCAGCACCAGTAGATACTCAGAAATGTCTGCTGAGTTTATGTCCCTTTTAGGAATATTTTATCATAAATAAGCATAATGCACATAAAGTTTTATTCCTTGCTCATTTAACTTTGTAATTTTATTTTGATAGTTTTTCTATACCATATATTAGATCCACTTTTTTTTTTTTTTAAGATCCACTTTAGTTTTTTATTACTCCCATGATTTTCGCTTGTATATACCCCAGTTTGACTCATTAGGCTCTTATAAAAAAGAGTGATGTTTAGGTCATTTCCAGCCTTTTGTATTACAAACAACATTGTAAGCATTGTATGCCTCTTCCTATATCTGGCTGCAAGATGAACTCTTAGTAAGAAATTGCTGACTTAAAGGGCATACACATCATACCAGCAACATTGTATGGGGATACCTGTTGCTATATCAGACTTTGATTTCAGTGATTTAGTAGGTGAAAGATGATATCTTATTATTTTGGTTTTTGTTAATTATGAATGTGGTTGAGGTTTGTCATATGCCATTCCAGTTGTCTTTAAACCTGTCATGATTTTTTCCTTTTGTGGTCAGGCTACTCTGAATGCCAGGACATCCATTTTGGCAGCAGCAAACCCCATCAGTGGACACTATGACAGATCAAAATCGTTGAAACAGAATATAAATTTGTCAGCTCCTATCATGTCCCGATTTGATCTCTTCTTTATACTTGTGGATGAATGTAATGAGGTAACTACTCAAGCTGTCCCTCTGAGCTCCCTTTATTATTTCCAGTTTGAGTAATTGATTGAGACAAACCTGGAAGATGTACTCATGAAGAATTGGTGCATGTGTTGGCACTGACCTTTCATATATCTGAGTGGCACAGGATTAGATAGGTTTATTAAGCAACTCAAAATCACTTAAATGATGGTTCTGCTTAATTGTGTTAAGGAATATCAAGTTTGTTGTTTTTGTTATTGCTTTTTAATTCTTAACAAAAAAAAAAAAAACACAGTTCTTAACTGTACCCTTTAAGATTTTTATTAGATTTTTGTTTTTTCATTAAGGTTGAAAAGAATTCAGATACCAAACAACTTTCCTTTTTTTTCCACAAATTATGAGTCATTTGTCTCCCTATATCTTCCTGTCAAATTACTGCATGTGTCACATTTTTTTCTAATTATGTAGCAGTTTTAAGATTGAATGTGAAATTGTGGATTTACTTACATTCTAACATGTTAGTATTAGAGTTGAAAGAAAGTGAAAGTCACTCAGCCGTGTCCAACTCTTTGTGACCCATGGACTGTGCAGTCCATGGAATTCTCTAGGCCGCAATATTGGAGTGAGTAGCCTTTCCCTTCTCTAGGGGATCTTCCCAACCCAGAAATTGAACTCAAGTCTCCTGCATTGTAGGCGGATTCTTTACCAGCAGAGCCACAAGGGAAGCCTAGTATTAGAGTTACTTAGACTTAAATATTTAACAACATTGCACATCTCAGATGTATGCAGAACTGCAAAATGACCTTAGAAGGTAATATTGTACTGTACTTTTAATTACTGAGCATGGAGAGACTACATTACTTCAGGCAGAATACATAACTCTTGCTTACAGTAAAGTTTTAAATTTATCTAAATAAAATTTGCCTTCCAATAATGTGAATGTCAGAGGGTTTTCTTGTTTTATCTTTGGTTTTGGTTCTTTTCCTTCATAAATCTATATAAAATGTTTAACCTAGTCTTCACCCCCCATTGTTGGGCATTGACTGATTTTCATATATTTTATGTCTCTACATAATTTATTAATTTTTAACTTTTTAATTGGAAATAATTTCAAACTTACAGAAAAGTGCAGGAAATACAATAATGCATATAGTACCCATATACCCTTTATTCAATTCACATAAGTTTTTGCCCTATTTACTTTACCATTTGCTCTGTATATCTCTACATTTTTTTCTATACCATTTGAGAGTAAATTGCGTATTTTTAATATGATTTTATTCAGTGTTAGTAACAGTTTCATGATGATTATCTTCATATATTCACAAGTGGCAGCATGATATAGTGGCTAGGAGGACATATTCTGAAGCTAAACTCTTCAAATCCTTGCTCAGTTACTAACTGGGATGTTGGACAAGTTACTTAATTTTTTCAGGCCTAAATTTACTTATCTGTAAAATGGGGTAATGTTATCTACCTAATAAGGTCTTTGTGAGGATTGTATGAATTAATGCTTCTCAACAACACTTAAGGCAATAGAGCCTGGCGTTTACTGAAGGCCCTAGAATTCTTATTTCTGTCAGATTAATTAAGTCAGTTAATTTCTTCAGGAATAGTCTTACTTAGAGTAAGGCACAGCTATACATTTAAGCATTTGATTTTGGATGAAACTGGTATTAAACTTTCCTCAGAAACTTGAACCCATTAATACATCTTATGGTGGCATATTAAAGCTTGAGATTATCATGCTGCAAATAATTTCTTAATGCCTAGGATAGTCTGGAGTGAATGTTATTGTAACTGATCAAAGTGATTTTCTTGTTTGTAATTAGGTTACAGATTATGCTATTGCCAGGCGAATAGTAGACTTGCATTCAAGAATTGAGGATTCCATTGATCGTGTGTATTCCCTTGATGATATCAGGAGGTATCTTCTTTTTGCAAGACAGTTTAAACCCAAGGTAACCTGCCCTTTTGTACTGTATTCAGGCATGATGAATATGTGGCATTTAAACAGATGTCTTACTTGGAAATTAACTTAACCGGATTTGAGGATTTTTTATGGTTGGTTGGTTGGCTTGATCTGGGGGTTTGTTTTGGCTTTTTTTTTTTTTTGGATAACAGTTTATTTCTTCAGTGAGACTTGAGAAAAAGGAATGTTTTAAAAGTCTGAAATATTCCTTTTCTTCTACTTACTAGGTGCTAATAAAAAGGTTTTTATGAGTGAAGAATTTTGAATAACCAAACAAACTAGACTATCCTTTTATTTCGATCATTATTCCTAAGAATCTTAAAACTGTGTATGCTTAAATCAGTAGTCTACAGATGCTCTTGAATCTTCCTCTGAGGAAAAACTTGGATTCCTCTAGTTCATTGTAATGAACATAAATAACTATCTTACAGTAATTGATGTAGATCTTTGGATTAAATCTGCACTGGATTCAGGATGCTCACTTGGATGTTTATTTTTGTTTGTTGTTATTATTTTTTAATTTATTTATTTTAATTGGAGGCTAACTACTACAGTATTGTTGTGGTTTTTGCCATACATTGACATGAATCAGTCATGGGTGTACATGTGTCCCCCATCCTGAACCCCCCTCCTACCAACATTTAAAAAAAATAAATGAACTCCATAATGCATATGTTGTTTGGCATTTTCCTAAAATAGAATATAGAAAAAATTTTCGTTTGATTCTTGTTGAAATGTCTACACTATTTCTGGCTTGACTTTTGGGAGTTATGCTTAGATTTTAATTATCTATCACCTTCACTTGATCATCCATAATATCAGAATTGACTCTCACTGTCCCAAGGAAAGGGTAGAATATCACTTTTGTCTGCAGAAGCATTTGTTCTCCATGTCTAACTGGCCCGTCTATAACTTTGGCATGCTTCCTTAACACACTTAGTTCCTTAAGGGCTCTGAAAAACTGAGTATCCTTTAGTTTGCCTCACTTTGTTGTTATTATTGAACAAATGATCAGGTTTACTGAAATAGCTGCTAAGTATATCCCGAGTGGATACCTGAGTTCACAGGTAGTACCACACCCTATATATACTGTTTTTTCCTATAAGTTAGCACAATAAGAGAATATCTGAATTGCCAGCATCACTACTCCTGCGCTTGGGAAGCAGTATTAAGTAAAAAAGTGTTACTTGAACATAAATACTGTGTTACCCTAACAGTTGATCTGACAACTGAGTTTGCTACTGACTGACTAATAAGCAAGTGCCATATACACTGTGGATATTCTGGATAAAGGGATGATTCACATCTTGGGTGAGACATTGGACAGCTGCTAAGATTTCATGACACTACTCAGAACAGCACACAATTTAAAACATGAATTGTTTCGGTCTGAAATTTTCTATTCAATATTTTTAGACTACAGTTGACCATAGGTAATTGAAACAACAGAATGTGGAGAAGCCACAGAGTGGGGAGGACTATTACATACATATTGAAATACTAACTACTGTCTTCCTATTCGTAAAATCAGTGCATGGAATTCATAGTCCTCCTTTGTATTAGTTTCTTTTGAAAGGTATTTCAGTACTAATTTCTTGTCATTGGTTTCAAAGTCTTGACCCTCTCAGTTCCCCCAGAGTATCTCTATCTGGGAAGCTTTTAACCTTCATGTTTAATGCAGCTTCCATTAAGTAAAAATGCTCTGACTTCATCGATGTTCTGAAACAGATTTCTAAAGAGTCAGAGGACTTCATTGTGGAACAGTATAAACGCCTCCGCCAGAGGGATGGTTCTGGGGTAACCAAGTCTTCATGGAGGATTACAGTGCGACAGCTTGAGAGCATGATCCGTCTCTCTGAAGCAATGGCTCGGATGCACTGCTGTGATGAGGTATCAAATTCACTTTAATATAATGGGAAAGAGAAATTGATATTTGGCTTTAAGTGTGTTTTTATCTTTGGTATAGAACATACTAGCATTCACTGCAGATTTATTTTTATATAACTGTTGAGTTTTCATAGGATACATGACTCCTGACCCTGGGGGCTTTCCCTTAAAGAAGGTTGCTGTCAAGCATTTATTGAATGTAGTAGTTAGATTAGTGAGATAATCATGACAGAGTATAGAGTACAAATAGAGGTGAGTTCAAGATTAGTGCCATTCGTTCAAGAAAGATTTAAACTTACGATGTTTCTTTTATTTTTTTTTAACTTTACGATGTTAAATCCTTACCATTTAAACCTTTCAGTATGCTAGGCTTCTGGGCATAGAAGACAAATGTGATAATGTCGCCCCCAGTCACCTAAGAAGGGAATTTTCCTCCTTAGTTTTGTATAATGTGTGGGTATTAAATTGTTCTTTGAGCCTGGGTTTTACAGGTACATGTCAGTGGGTATTTAGGGAGTAAATGGGGAGCAGTATGGAAGGATATTCACACCCTTATCTCTGCTTCATGCAAACCAGCCCTGCTTTATATAACTTTATATTTTTAAACAGTGTTAGATTTTGTTTGAGGAAAGAATTTGGCTATTTTTCTTAAAATAGTACGATTGAGGTATAATTCACAGGAGAGACTGTACAGCTCTGACTTTTTATATACACCCTTATGGCCACCCAGCTCAGAATATAGATTTAACAACATCTTAGGAAGTTGACCTACACCCTTCCCCAGAAGTGAGCACTGTAGTGACTTCATTCACATTTTTGTCCCATAAATTTCATTTCTCAGATGTGTGTTTGTTTAATTTTTCAAATTCTCTGCTATAGCACTTTACTGTTTATAAAATACTTTGACACTGTCTTACTTGTTGTTCTTTGAGTCTTCTGACATTTAATGGACATCTTTGTAGGTTAAGAGATGAATATAAGAGCCGCTGTCTTCCATTGCTGAAAATTTGGTGGGAGAAGACATTAGTTTAATTAAATATGTGAAATATGAGAGAGATTATTATGGTAGAGTGTCATCAGGAGAGAGTACAGAGATCAATGAATTCTTTCCTAAGGAAGGTGGAGGGTTTGGGGAGATGCCAACAGTTGAACTGGATCACTGAAGGGCATGTGGAATTTTGATATGCATTTTTAGAGTGAAAGGAGGAAAGTTTAGCAAGAATGTAGTGGAATCTGCAGAGAAAGAATAGGTCATGGTGGAGGTGGGGCTTTATATTTTAAATGTACAGCTAGTTCCACTGCACTGGCATTGTTCTTTTTTGGTGGTTGTGAACTTAATGATTGGTTGGCTTAGGTTTTTTGTGTTGTTTTTTTTTTTTAATTATTGATGTTCACTAAGAGGAAAGCATCCTAAACTTGTTTGAAAAACCCAGGAATTTCCCCTTCTCTGGCCCTCCTTTGCCCTCCCCGACGCTGTTGGCTATCTGTTTTACATATGGTAATATAAGTTTCCTTGTCACTCTTCCATGCATCTCACCCTCTCCTTCCTCCCCTGCCCTCCCTGTCCATTATCTCTGTTCTCTATGCCTGTGTCTCTACTGATGCACTGCAGATAACTTTCTCAGTACCATCTTTCTAGATTCCTTATATATGCTTTAGTGTAGGAGGTTTATCTTTCTCTTTCTGTATACTAGGCTCTAGGTTCATCCACCTCATTAGAACTGACTCGAATGCGTTCCTTTTTATGTCTGAGTAATACTGTGTTGTGTGTATGGAATACACAGCTTCTGTAAAATCTGGAAACTTTTGAAGAAAGCACTAACCATTCTGTCTCTAGACTGCTGTTCTCACCTACAGATTCTGGACTTGAGCTGCAGTACTTCCAGCCTCCAGCCACCTCTGCTCACTTCAGACTGGCCCCTACAATCCTCATTGGCAAGAACCAGTTCCTTAATACCTATCCTGTTGCTCCTGTTTCTCCTGAAGTCCGTGTGTTTAAATATACTGACAAACTCCTTGGTTTGTCTGAAGGCAAGGGGAGAGTCTGTCAGCCATCAAGGACTCTCTGTTTAGCCCTGAAAGGGGTTTTTCCTTCAGTTGCCTGGCTTGTTCCTATACTCGTGCTACTAAATGTATGAAGCTAGGTAATTGTACCACCCCCTAGATTTTCTCTAACCGTTGAATATATTGTGTAGTAATGAAATGCATTATACCCTGAAAGCTGTCTATTCTTTTATCTTTGTTTAAAAAATCTGAACATAGGGCCAACGTATACTTCAGCTCAGTGTTTGATACTCAGTTTTTAGTTCTTTTATACTAAAATAAAAATAGTATACCCCCTAAATTATAGATATTGAGAGCATGTTAAATTTGTTAATAAGAACTGACATCTCTATGATGATTTTTCCTAAGAAAACATGATAGCAATTAGAATCTAGATTGTGCCACTAAAAATTGCAGCTGTTTGAAACAGAAATAGTTATTTTTTTTTGCTTATGCTTCATGTTCATTTATGTTAGCCAGAGGCTTTCTTCTCCACATTGCTCGGAAATTCAGGCTGACATAAGTCTCTTTGTTGACATACACTTCCATGATTATAGAAGATAGAAGAAAAGGTGAACCAAACACTGCTTCTTAACCTTCTATCTAGAAATGACATGACACTGCCACTCAAATTTCATTGGTCAGAGGAATTAACATGGCCATGCCTAAATTCAAGTGGTTGAAGAAGTGCTTTCCTATCAGAGGGCTAGAATGAGGAAAGCAAACATTTGTGAACAGTTCTGGTGATTCATTCATTATCTTTCCACTTAAGTCTTTTGTTGTTTCACTTAATGGCTTTTAAAGTTTTCTTCCTATGATTTTTGCATGTTTCTTGTTGAATTTATTTCTTGATATTTTCAGTTTTTTTCTTGGTATTGAAGGCAGACTTTTTTCCATTTTATATTCTGACTGGTGGTTACTTGTATATATCAACTATTGGTTTCTGTATGCTAGTTTTCTACTATATGAAACCTTATAGTTTCTTTTTCAGTCAAGCCTATTGATTTTCCAGATTTTCATTCTTTTTTCAAATGATAAATGCTTCTAGTCTTACTGAAAAAGTAAACTTAAATCTTTTCCTATAGTCTCTACTAATTTGCTTTTGCTATTGCAATATAATGTCTAATAATTATGAAATTGGACATTTTTTTTTCTTGTTCTTAGTTGGCTCTGTGGCTGAAATATGTTTTTTATCAATAAGAACTATACATTTATTATTTATATCTTGAATATTGCTGTCAGGAAGATTGTTTTGTTTTTTGCCCAGTGTCTTTTTAGTATTGTGTGTGTGCTTAGTCATTCAGTCGTGTCCAACTCTTTGCAACCCCATGAACTATCACCCACCAGGCTCCTCTGTCCATGGGGATTCTACAGGCAAGAATACTGGAGTGGGTTGCCATGCCCTCCTCCAGGAGATCTTCCCCACCCAGGGATCGAAACCAGGTCCCCCACATTGCAGGTGGTTTGTTTACTGTCTGAGTCACCAGGAAAGCCCTTTAGTGTATATGAGTTAATCTGATTTTTTTTCTCCTGGATCTATTAAAATAAAAATAAATTTACTAACATCAAGGCTTCCTGGAATAAATCCCACTCTTTTAATGCATTTGGCTTTTGCTTGCTGTTATTTAGAATTTTTAAACAGTACTCACAAAAAACCATGGTTGTTATTTCATTTACATTTTTTGAAATTTTCCCCATTGTTTCTCTGTCCTAGAGTGGTTTTCACTTGCAGTGAAATGATCTGCCGGGAATTCCCTGGCAGTCCAGTGGTTAGGGCGCTGCTGCACCTCCACTGCAGGGGGCACAGGCTCAGCCCCGGTTGGGCAGCCGAGGTCTGCATGCTGCGTGATGCTGCCATAAATAAGATGAAATAAAAATCTGCTTTTACTGATAAGAATTCTCCAGTACAACTCTCGAGTCTAGTATATAAAATTTCTTGTTTAGATTTTCTCTCTCAGGTCAGTCTTGGGTGAGCTATATTTTCCTGAAAAAGTATCCATTCCTAAGAGTTTGCAGAGTTGAGTAATATCCAGTTAGAATGTGTTTTTTTGGTTGCTTGTTTCAGTACTACATTGTGATTAGACAATTTCTCATTTAGTTTCTAGGATACTTTCTTTGTAGCCCAATGCCCATTTTTGTTTGTTTCCTTTTGGGCTGGTGGGTCTTGTCTCTCTAGTTGCAGCAAGTGGGGGCTGCTCTTCGTCGTGGTGCACAGGCTTCTCGTTGATGTGGCTTCTCCTGCTGCGGAACACAGGCTCCTTGCGCGTGGGCTTTAGTAGTTGCAGCACGCAGTCTTAAGTAGCTGTGGCCTGTGGATTTAGTTGCCCTGCAGCACGTGGACTCTTCCCAGACCAGTAATCAAACCCATGTCCCCTGCATTGGCAGGCAGATTCTTGACCACTGGACCACCAGTGAAGTCCCCAATACCGGTTTTCATAAGTGTTCGTGAGCACTTTGAAGGAAGGCCTAGTTCCTGTTTGTGTGCTTACGTGTGTGCTCAGTTGTATTCAACTCTGCGACCTTGTGGATGCCAGACGCCGCTGTCCATGGAATTTTCCAGGCAGGAATAATACTCAAGTGGGTTGCCATTTCCTACTCCAGGGGTTTTTCCTTTTTTGAAGGGGGAGTTTACTTTTTTTTTTTTTTTAGGCTTTTTTTTTTTTTTTATGGGGTTTGTGGTCTACCACATCGTCTCTAGATTGCAAGTTTAAAGTGTCTTATGAATACTTTTTATTTCTCTACCAGTAATACAGTTTTTTCTCTTTGTATTTATCCTTTTACCTCCTATAGTTTCTGCTTTACTAATATTGTTGTTCTCTTAAACTAATACATATCTTTTCATTTTGATGTGTACCCTCTAACTTTCTTTGTCTCATTTATGCTTTTTGGCCTGAACTCTACCTTGCTTTCTTTTTCTGATATTCCTTTGCGTAACTTTTTATTATTTTTAGGCATTTCTGAGTAAGTTAAGTGTGTATACACACACACATAGCACAGAGTTAGGTTTTGTTTTGTGATCCAAACAAATATTATTTTAATGTATGTTAAACTGATTTACATTTATTGGTGGGAGAGAGAGGATTTTTTGTTTGTTTTCTTTTTATAGTTGAAATGATTTTTCATTATGTGGTAACTTTGCTTTTGCTTTAAGTGCAGTTCTGAGATTCAGAAAGTTTACATTTTATTTTAGTGGTTACTTTTGTTACTATAATTTTATATTATACCCTCCATTCCCTATTGGTTCCCTACCAGGAAGAGTGTTAAAACTAGCATATATCATCTTTCTTTTTCTTCCCTTCCCTCTCAACGGCATGATTTTAGTAAATAATATTTTACAGCTTTCCTTTGCACAGTCAAATGTAGTTATCCATCGCTTGATTTATCATCTTTTGACTTTGATTTGTTACGGGTGGGAGGCAATCAGCAAATTCACTGTGGGTCTCCCTCTACCCCTGTGTCTTCGGGTCATGCCATATACATTGTATTCTGTCACTCTTAATTCCCACGCTTGTTTTTTAAGTCATAGTTTTTTAGATAAATATGTGTGTAGCTCATTGAAGATAAATTTGTTATGATTTCCTAATTTATCTCTTGGCTGATTGAAATTTGGTCCTTTTTCAAGGGTTTGGTGAAAGAGATGAGTTCATGGGAATAATTTTCCCTGAGTGTTATGTGCAACAGGGTTATTGATAGTCTTTACCCGAATGATAGATTGGCTTGATCTACAATCTATGGCCCATAGTTTCTTTTCCTATGAATTTTTCTACTGTATCCTGACATTAATTGTTCTTTTGGGGAAATCTGAGGCCAGCCCTTGATTATTAATTTCTCCCCCATAAGTAACTGGATATTTTTCTCTTCGTATACAATTCTTTATTTTTATAGACCAGTAAGTTTACTAGGATATGTCTTGATACTGACTGCTCTAAAATGACTTAAAAGTTTCCTTGCAGTCAGTAGTGTATTTAAAAAAACAAAAAAGTGCTCTGCTGGACTTATCTGTTGTTATGGGGCTCAGCTAGTTAGGAAGGGAGTATATTTAGAGAGAGTGTTGGTTATTTATATAAGGACTTAAAGCAATGTCCCCTGCCCCCAAAATAGACTTATTATTTTTCTTCTAAGTAAACTTTTTTGTTGAGGCAAAACATAAGTACAGAGAGTGTACAAATCACAAGTGTTCAGTTCAGTTAGCTTTCAGTGAAAACTGTGTGATCTACACCCAGATCAGGAAGTTGAACATTCCTTATTAGCATTGCCAAGAGCAACCCTTTGAGCTTTTTGTTTACAGTCACTGCTACCCCCTTCTCTGAGGATAACCTTTTTCTTTTCTTTATTGCTGTATAGTACTCCAACCATACTTTTCCTGATAGATAAGTTGTTTTCAGTCTTTTTTTCCCCCTGCCAGTTGTGGTTAAAAACACATAAATGTCAGTAAGTGTGTTAGTGATTGGCTCATCCTTCTGTTAAAACGGACATTTGGGTAGTCTCCAGTTTGGGTTCTTAAGATGTGTATGTGTCTTTTAGTCTGATGTACATATGTGTACATTTCCATTCAGTGTATACCTGCAAGTGGAGGTACTGAATTACTGGGTCACAGATTGTATGCATACACGGTTTAGTAAAGACAAAAATGGTTTCCCACATGGTTGTAATGGTTTATATTCCCAAAAGCAGTGAATGAAAGCAGTGTACATCCTCAACACTCAATATTGCTGGTCCTTTTAGCCATTCTGGTAAATTTATGGTTTGCCATAAATATCTCTCATATTTTTATGTCACGTGAGAGGGAGAGTGTGAGAAAACAAAAATGCCACTGAAATTTCATACGGAGAAAATCTGTTTGGTGTATCAAAAAGACTGGTTTACTAGTTTACCTCATCATCTTGATTGGTTTAGGTTCAGCCTAAACATGTGAAGGAAGCTTTCAGATTACTGAATAAATCAATCATCCGTGTGGAAACACCTGATGTCAATCTCGATCAAGAAGAAGATGCCCAGATGGAGGTTGATGAGGGCCCAGATGGCATCAATGGTGAGTTGTCTGTTCATGACTGTTCTAGAGTTAGGGGCCAAAATGTTCTCTGAGATATCATGATAAAAGTGCACTTAATGATGGTTATGAAGTCTGTGTAGCAAAAGGGGGGAAAATAGATAATGAATTTTATTAACTGTTTATAAGTTAAAATATAATCAAACAGTTGATACAAAATATATATGCTTGAAAGACTTGAGAGAAAGTACACCAAAATGAAGATAGTGGACTTAATATTGCAAATGCAATTTTAGATCATGAAATCTTTTTTATCTCCCGTTCTTCCCATTTCTTCCAAATGGGTTTTTATCTTAACTAGTAGCATTTATAAAATTGCTTCTAACTTATTTGTACAGTTACTGAATACTGGGTACAATTATATGGTTGTTTTAAAATAAGTATTAAAATATAAATAGCGTATTTATAAAAGCCGCTGGTAGGGGGATATTGGCACAGGAAGAAGATTCAAATGGCTAATATTTCACTTAGGTCATGCTGATAGCCCTGCTCCTGTGAGTGGAATTAACGGCCATAGTGAAGACATGAACCAAGATTCTGTTCCAAAAGCCTCCTTAAGGCTGGGCTTCTCCGAATACTGCCGAATCTCTAACCTTATTGTGCTTCACCTCAGAAAGATGGAAGAAGGTGAGGCCATACCTAGTGCTGCTCTTATGCGGAGTCATTTACATAAGCTGTATTCACATAAACTGCTTATGGTTTGCTAAAGATTGTGTTGTTTTGTCAGAAGAGATGATAGTTTGTTAAGCTCACTTTGGCAAACAAAATCTATGAGGGCATGTCAGCATATCTACCAACCTGGATGTTTTCCCTACAAGTTCATTGTCAGAGTTTTATGACTCACTTTTACTAATGTCCTTGGCCTATTTAATATTTGTTAAGCCAAATTTAGGATCTGATAATATGTAAAGAAGCACTTAACAGATTTTTTACAGATGTAAAATCTTCCTTCTTTACAATGGCTTTGTTTAAAATGGATGGAATCCTTCATTCCAATTTATGCTTTCGGTTGCTGTTGACCAGCATTGGGTGGCGAAGCATAAGAAGGTGAAGGAAACACCTGCATACTTTGAAATCATAATAGCTTTAAGAAACTTGTTTCTTATCATCTCTATTTTTTAAATTTTTCTTTTCAGGATAAAGTAAGGATACTTTAATTGAAGTAATATGGCAGGTGATTTCAGGCTTATGCTGGAACATTGCAAACTGTATTTTAGCAGATATATTTTCTGACAGATAGGTTACTTAATCTATACATTATTTTGTTGTGTATACAAACTCCAGGAATTGGCAAAACAGTTTGCTACCAAGATAATTTAATCCTTTTTAAATGTATTTTTTGGTTGCAGAAGAGGATGAGTCGGCATTAAAGAGGAGTGAACTTGTTAACTGGTACTTGAAGGAAATTGAATCAGAAATAGATTCTGAAGAGGAACTGATAAATAAAAAGAGAATCATTGAAAAAGTCATTTATCGACTCACCCACTATGTATGTATATAATTAAGTTTGCTGGGATATTACTGAGGGAAGGTTTTCATGTTTCATATCTTTGTAGGTTCCTTAGATGTTCATTTATTTTGAATCATGAGGGTCTAGTCAGATTTAAAAATTGTGTAAAATAAGAGAGAATTAATAATTAATTGACTTATTTCTTCTGCCAAAATAAGAAGAATTTATATTAAAGCTGGGAAAATGAATTTAGGGTCTTAACTATTTAAGTGTTTTTAACCTTTGTTATTTTACTCTCTCTACCATAAACCTTCAAGCAGCCTGACCACTATCATCTAAATTCTGCATTTTATCCTTCCTCCTGTTCTTATCTCCCCTCCGTTACCCAGCTTACAGTCTGTCCCATATATTTTTTCTTATACTTTCCAATTCATTCATTCTCTTTTTGTAATACTTGATTGGAAAAAACTCCATCTAGTTTGGTTAAAACTAGTTTGTTTACTGTACCTATATCTAAGAAGTTAAAATTATCTGGAGAAAAGCATACAATCATGTACTTACTCTTATTTTACATTAATGAGCACAAATCTCAAATGGACAGTTCTTAACTTCTGTCTTACCTACTTCACAGTAGCACTGACCTCACAGTAGCACTTCCCACTGCCATTGCTTTTCCCTCATCTGTTCATTCTCCCACTCTCTTGAAGGACCGTCGCATACACGCCGTCTCACTGCTCCAGTCAGTTGGCTATTTGCAGTATTTTACCTGTCAGCAGCATCTGTCAGGTTGATCACTCCTAGAAATACTTTGTTTGCTTGGCTTCTGAGTCACCATATTCTCCTGGATCTTCTCACTGTTATTTCCTCCTCTTCTCTCTCTCTCTCTTTTTTAATTTTGAGCTGTGTGATTCTGTTTTATTTTATTTTTTGGCCACATAACATGGCATGTGGGATCTTAGTTCCCCAGCCAGGGATTGAACCTGTGCCCCCTGCATTGTAAGCACTGAGTCTAAACCACTGGACCACCAGGGAAGTCCCTCCTTCTTTTTTCTTTTCCTGACTCTTTCTCTTGTCACTTTTTAAATGAAGTACTATATGTAGTCCTCAAACCTCTTTTTCTGTTTACATTCATTGCCTAAGTGAACTCATTTGGTTCCATGAATTGAGAACCATTTATGATGACTCCCGTATTTATATCTCCTGCTCTCACCTGTCCTCTAAATTCCTAACGTGTATAGCTAGCTGCTTACTTGCAAATTAATAGGCATCTCACACTCTGTGTTCAAAACAGTTACTTCCCTATAGTGTTTCACTTACTCAGTTGCTGTAGGCCAGACATCTTAGAATTAACTTCGATTCCTTTCCCCTCACAACTTCTTTTATCAGCAAATCTCATGAGCCCTGCCTTCAGTATTCTCTGTTCTCTTCACCACCATCACAGCTACCCAAGCCACCATGCCTGTACTTCCACAGATGCCTCCTAACTGTCCACCCTTGCAGTGGCTCTCTGCCCAGCAGCAGACAGATCTTTTAACAAATAAAATTGTTTTACTGCCCTGCGTTCCTTCCCTCATGTTTAGAATAAGATCAATCTCTGTACCAGGGCCTGCAGAACCCTACACAAGCAGGCCCTTGCCCACCTCACTGACTTCCTTTCATAGCCTCTTCCCTTTCCCATTCTGCACAGTGACACTGGCCTTGTCACTGTTCTTGGACACACCAAGTATGAAGGCTCTGCACTTGCCCTTCTGTTTCTTTTCCCATATTCTCTCCTCCATTCTAGTGTCTGCTCAAATGCTCCCTTCTCAAAGTAGTTCTCCTTGCCTTGTCTGTTGAGATAGCAGTCTCCTCCTTGCCATCACCCCTACCCTGCTTGTTTCTTCACAGTGTTTATCACTGCCTGGGCGTACAGTCTTTGTTTAGGTGCTTAATAATGTGCAGTCACGATGAGGGCAGGGACTTTATGTTGTTAATCCCCTGTATCTGCAGTGGTGCCTAGCTTCAGAGAGGGTTCAGATACTTGTTACATGATTGAATTTTTCTGTTCAAATGGGAGAAATTGCATCTAACTTCACAGTGCTCACTTTATAAATATTATAGTTGGCACACATCAGAGTTTATCATTTGATGAACTATTTCCCTGTAGAACTAGGTGAGTCTGTGACTACAGGAGGGGGGATTTGAAAGACTATTCCATTCAAAATTTAATGAATAATATGTGTAAAAATAGAGCTGAAGTGGGGTGGTGGTGTGCTCAGAGTTGTCTGCCTAGTGGTGGACAATGTGTTTGTGTCGGGCCAGCCCTGCCCTTCTTAGTAGTCCTGGAATCAGTGTTAAGGTAAAGTAATTCATGCAAAAAACCCACACTAGGACACATTGTAAAACTAACTGATCTAAATTGGGCTTACATTTTTAAGTTTGATGCACCTCCTTGAGCCAGCTTGGTACAAAAGACTAAGGAACTTGTACTGTGCTGGTCAAGTGTGCTTTCTCTGAAGACGTGTTAGTACTGGAGTACTTGCAGGTGTCTAATCCGTCTTAGTGGTATCAGTGCTCATACTGTCGGACCTTTCCACCTGAGGATCAAATCGCTATTTCCTGAGTTCCTCTGTATGGGCCCTAGGTAGGAGTCCTCCTTGTTTGTGGGCATACTACACTGACCTATAATATCATGGCTTCAAATCTGTCATCAAGTTTATTAAGCCACATGGCATGTTCTACTTTTTTTTAACTATGGACACATTGTAAAACTAACTGATCTAAATTGGGCTTACATTTTTAAGTTTGATGCACCTCCTTGAGCCAGCTTGGTACAAAAGACTAAGGAACTTGTACTGTGCTGGTCAAGTGTGCTTTCTCTGAAGACGTGCTAGTACCTGGAGTACTTGCAAGTGTCTAATCCGTCTTAGTGGTATCAGTGCTCTTACTGTCGGACCTTTCCACCTGAGGATCAAATCGCTATTTCCTGAGTTCCTCTGTATGGGCCCTAGGTAGGAGTCCTCCTTGTTTGTGGGCATACTACACTGACCTATAATATCATGGCTTCAAATCTGTCATCAAGTTTATTAAGCCACATGGCATGTTCTACTTTTTTTTAACTAGTTAATAGATCAAAGTGAAAATTTTTATGTTAATTATCTTTAGATTCTACTTCTAACTGAATTATGAATGGGTGGTATATGAAAGAGTTCAGTGGCTGGTAATTAAAAATTAACATAATATTAAGTATTAAACACTTTGAATGATAAATAGAATGATAAACATTTATCAGGATTTATACAATTGCATGACCATAAAATTCATATGTTTTTTTGAAGTTATTTTTAAGTACATGATGTAATATGCTAGGGAACCTGGTTAAAATCATAATGTTGATCTTACTGATATATTTCTTAATTTTTCAAAGAAAGTTTATGATATGAAAAGGTCTGTATCATAATGGGATGGTAATTTAGCAGAAATTTGATATGGTTTTAAGACCATTTTCCTTTTTCTAAGAGAGAATCATTTTTCTGAAAGAGTTTCTGGGGGAAAATGAAAGAAAATGTTAGTAGCAGGCATTTAGGAGGGTCAGGTCCTGTGTATCTTATCATTCTTATAATACTGCTAAAGAACTGAGGACAACCATTTGTATTTCATAGGATCATGTTCTAATTGAGCTCACCCAAGCTGGATTGAAAGGCTCCACAGAAGGAAGTGAGAGCTATGAAGAAGATCCCTACTTAGTTGTTAACCCTAACTACTTGCTTGAAGATTGAGCTATTGAAAGAAACTGGAGAAACTATGGCCCTCCACCTTGGGCCTGGAGTCTGGATGGAGTTCTTCTAGCCAGAGAAATGCTTCTGAGAGTGATGATTCAGGAAGATTTACTTTGAGGAATAAGAACGGAGTTGATTGTCCTATCCTATATTGTCACATTCCTTTTATACCAACACAGGTTTTATCCCTTTGTTTAGTGTACTTCTTGTCTAAAAAGAGTTGGATTGCAATAATGTGTTGTTTCTATAGCTAAGACCTTGTGTTTTCATGTGTAGAAAAAGGTCTGCTGCTTATATGTTATGTGATACCTTATTGGAGAAATAACTTTTTTCAAGTGTCAATTACTGCTTTTTTTCACCAGAAAAAACTTTTTCAGCAGTTGTCTATTGGATTTATTTCTAGTCTACTCAAATTATTGCTTCCATTTATTCATGAATATAGCAAAGGGATGGAAATATGACATAGTAAACATTTAAGCATAACTCCCTGTGAGGAGAGTCCTTATTAGAATTTGTTAGTATGAAAGCTAAGAGGCCTTGGAGATGACTTTTAAAAGTTAAATCAAGTTCTATTTGTTTTTTTAAGAGAGTTTATGAAAATAAAAAGTTTATTATACTTTTCCACTACTCTTTAATAGCTTAAAATTTCTATGTTCTAAGAGTAAGATCTCAGAATTACTTTCTGACTGCTTTTTTAAGGGAACTTTATCATTTTCTATACTATAACCATCCTTAAATTTTTTCAAGGAAAAGAATTATTACTGTTTACAATACTAACAGTCTCTGAGGCTTTAGCTTTGATCAGTATGTTCATGATGTACCTGTTCCTATTGCTGCAGCTTTGACAACAGATGGGAAATGTCATTTTTCTATATTTACAACCACCCTTAAATTTTACAGCATTTTTCTAGGAAAAGAATTACTGCAGTTTATGATACTAACAGTCTCTGAGGCTTAGCTTTAATCATAGGTTCCTGGTGTAGAAGGTACTGTTGTTGCAGCTTTTGACAATAGATGGTATTCTGGGGTCTGTGGGGCTAGTCGGGGAATGTTTCTATATGTTACTAAAGTCCACTAATAGAAACTTCACTCACCACTAAAGGTGAGGGAGGTCGGAAACAGAAGTTGCACAGTTAGCAGATAAAGGGTATGAACTTGTGTGAAAACTACGTTACTAATTAATGGGGGTAGGCAAGCCTTTTGAGACAAGGAGACTTCCGTGTACAGGATCTCAGCGTTATTGTTGAGATAGGAGCTGCTGGAGTAAGGTGTGGACTAAGGCAGAAGGTTCCAGAAATAGGTGATAGGAAGAACAACTAGTAAAACTCATAAAACAGCAAGAAAGAGTTCCTTCCCTGCACCAGTTCCCAAGTTGATAAAGAAGATGGGGTAAGGAATTTCTGAATAGAGGAACAGCCTGACAGGAATTTGAACTTCGATTTGATTAGAGGAAAGTGTGAAGCCCAGGAAAGATGAGTTCCTTAATGGTGAATCTGTCTTCTCCCCCAATTTTGCTATTAGTGAAAGTGGGGACTCTAGAGCAAAGTGAGACCATTAATACAACTAAAAAAGTTTCTGTACATCTGAGTAAGTGTGCTTACATTTTCACACACCCCCTCTATCTACATGTTACTTATCAGAGAAATGAAGTGGCTAATGGATGGTGGAGTATGTATAAGATCTTTATGAGAAAATTAAACAAGTATTTAGTTAAGTGGATAGATGTAAATTGTTTCTGAAAAGGACATCTTGAATATTGTAAATTGTCAACCATAAATTTAATCAATGTTTTCAGCCAAATCCCAACAGATGTCCATCAGAAAGGAGATGACTACATAAATTATGATAACAGCCATGCTCTCTGCATTATACAAACTAAAATGAGGGAAATGAAGATGTTTGAAATGGAAATATCTCTAGGATATATGGAAGATATGTGCAAATAAAGCCATGGAACAACTGAATATATGACACAAATATTAACAGACCTAAGGGAAATAGACAGCAAAACAATAATAGTAGACTTAAGTATCCCACTTTCATCAAAGGACATTACCAGTAAGGAAGCATAGACTTTAAGTAATATGTTTAGACCAGATGGGCTTAACAGGCACAGAACATTCTGTGCAAAAGCAACAGAATACAGATTCTTCTTAAGCACAAATGGAACATTTTTCGGGATAGATCATATGTTAGGCCACAAAGCAAGTCTTACTAAGTTAAAGATGACTGAAATAGCCATGTTTTCTGACTATAACGATAACAAAACAAAACTACAGGCAGAAACCTGAAGTTTTTCACAAATATGTAGGAATCACACAACATCCTACTTAACAACCAATGGGTCAAAGAAATCAAAAAGAGAAATTTTAAAGTGAAACATGAAAATGTAAAAATGACATAGCAAAACTTAATGGGAGGCAGCAAAAGCAATCCAAGAGGGAAGTTCATAGGGATAAATGCCTTTATCAAGAAGCAAATATCTCAGCCTAACTTTATATCCTGGGTGGAGTGGGGAATAGATCCCTAAGTGTTGGTAGGAAAGAGCAGTAAAACTAAGCTTTTTTTTTTTTCTTTTTAAGGTAAAATTGACAAAACTTTAGCTAGACTCACAAAAGAAGAAAACAAATGAGAGATAAGTTATACCACAGAATATACATAAAGAATCATGAGATGTTTATATTCACCAGCAAATTGGACAACCTAGTAGATAAACTGCTAGAAAAACGCTGTCAATTATGTCCAAAATGGAGAATCTAATTAGTCTGGTTAGTAGTGCGATTGAATAAACAGAAACCTCCCAACAAAGTCCAGGACCACATGGCTTCACTGATGACTTCTACCAAACATTTGAAGATGAATTAATAGCAGTCCTTATCAAACATTTTTCAAAAATGGAAGAGGAGGTACTGTTTCCAAACACATTTCATGAAGCCAGCATTACCCTGGCACCAAAATGAAACACGGACACCTAAAGAAGAGAAAATTACAAGCCAATATCCTTCATATTGTAAACAAAACAGATGCAAAAATCCTCAACAAAACATTAGCAAAGTTAATTCAATAATATGTTAAAATGATCAAGTGAGATTATTCCAGGTATGTAAGGAGATTCAACATCTGCAAATCAAGCAATGTATTATACAGCTTAACTAAATGGATAAAAATACTTGTCATCCCCATAGATAAGGAAAAAAGGCATTTGATAAAATTCAACATCAAATTATGATTTTAAAAAAAACATCAAAGTGAGTATAGAGGGAAAGTATCTAAACATAATAAAGACTAAATGGCAAGTCCACAGCTAATCATACTCTTGGGGATGAGACAAGGATGCCCACGCTCAATATTTTTATTCAATAAAAATGGAATCCTAGCCAGAACTAGGAAAGAAAGGCATCCAAAGAAGTAAAATTGTCACTATTTGCAGATGATACGCTGTTTCATATAGAAAACCCTAAAGACACCACCAAAAAAAAGGGGGGGGGGGTACTTACTGATGGTCATGTGGTTAGGAATCTGGCAATGCAGGAGATACAGGATCAATTCCTGATGAGAGAACTAAAATCCCACATGCCGCAACTATTGACGCCCACGTGCTCTGGAGCCTGCGTGCCACAAGTAGAAAGTCAGTGTACCAGAACAAGAGATCTGCAAGACACAGTGAAGATCCTGCTTACTACAACCAAGACCTGATACTGCCAAGTATTTATTTTTTTAATGTATCAGAAAAAGGAGATGATCCCATTTACAGTTGTATAGTAAAAAAATACCTCAGTTCAGTCGCTGAGTTATGTCCGACTCTTGGCGACCCCATGAATCGCAGCACGCCAGGCCTCCCTATCCATCACCAACTCCCGGAGTTTACTCAAACCCATGTCCATCGGGTCGGTGATGCCATCCAACCATGTCATCTGTCATCTCCTCCTCCTGCCTCCAATCCCTCCCAGCATCAGGGTCTTTTGCAATGAGTCAACTCTTCGCATGAGGTAGCCAAAGTATTGGAGTTTCAGGTTCAGCATCAGTCCTAATGAACACCCGGGACTGATCTCCTTGAATAAATTTAACCAAGGAGATAAAAAAAAAAAAAAAACTGTATACTGAAAACTAAAAAAAAAAAAAAAAAAAACTGTATACTGAAAACTACAAGACAGTGGTGAGAGAAATTGAAAAAGATAATGATAAACAGATATTCCATGCATACAGATTGGAAGAATTAATATTAACATGCCCCTTCATTTTAAAATGCCCTTTTATTACACAGTCAGCAATCTCAAAATACCAGTGGCATTTTTCATAGAAACAGAACAGACGATCCTACTTTTGTGTGGAATCACAAAAGATCCTGAATAGCCAAAGCAATATTGAGAAAGAACAAAGCTAGAGGCATCATGCGTCCTTATTTCAAACTATATTACATAGGTGTAGTAATTAAAACTATGGTATTGGTACAGTAAGGAAAAACATTCTCTTAAATGGTGTTGGGAAAACTAGATCACTATGTTACACTATTCACAAAGTTAAAAATGGATTTAAAAGTTGAGCATAAAACCTGAAATCATAAACCTCCTAGAAGAAAAACAGATGGCAGGCTCCTTGACATCAGCCTTAGCAATGATTTTTTGGATTTGACAAAATCCAAAGCAACGGCAACAAAAGCAAAAATAAATAGGACTACATCAAACCAAAAATTACTGCACAGCAAGGAAAACCACCAGTCAAATGAATGTGAGAAAACCTTTGCAAATAATATCTGATAGGGGTTGATATCCAAAATACATAAAAACATAACTCAATAACAGCAATCTAAAATAGGCCAATGAGCAGAATAGGCATTTTTCCAAAGAATATATTCACATTGCCAACGGACACATGAAGAGGTGCTCAATATCACTAATCATCATCAAAGTGAAAATCAAAGCCACAATGAGATATCAATTAAACCTGTTTTTAGAAAGGTTATTATGAAAAAGAAAAAAAAATAAGTGTTAGCAAGGATGTGGAGAAAATAGAACACTTGTGTACTATTGGTAAGAACCTTTGTATGGAAAACATAGAAGTTTCAAAAAAAAAAAAAACTGAAAATAGAACTACCATGTAATCCAGCAATCCACTTCTAAGTATTTATCTGAAGAAAATGAAATCACCAATTCAAAAAGATAAATGCACCCTCATGTTCATTGCCACAATATTTATGATAGCCCAGACATGGATGCAACCTGTGTTCACTGATGGATAAATGGATAAAGAAACTGTGTATAATCAAATATTACTCAGTTCTGGAAAGAAATCTTGTCATTTGTGACATGGGTGGACCTGAAGAGCATTATGCTATATGAAATGTCAGACAGAGGAGGGCAAATAGTGTATAAAGCATAATGTTTTCATAAAAACTGAACTCATAGGTACAAAGAACAGACTGATGATTGCCAGAGGTAAAGGTGGTCAAAACATACAAACTTCCAGTTACAAAGTAAATGTCATGGGAATATAATGTACATCATGGTGATTATAGTTACTGCTATCTATCTGAAAGTTGCTGAGAGTAGATCTTAAGCATTCTCACCATACACAAGAAAAAACTTGTATATCAGTGATGGATAGGTTAACTCGTCTTATTGTGGTGATTTTGTGCAATGTATATGATTGTGTTGTACACCTGAAACAAATACAATGTTATATGTCAGTTGTGTCTTTTTAAAAATTAATTTTAAAAAGGGAAAATATGAGCTTTTCTTATAACTTTGCTTTCTTATAACTTTATAAGTAGATGGAGTTTTTAAAACTATATCTAGAGAGCAATAAAGAATTTAATGAATTTGACTACACCAAAATTTAATACATTAAAAATTAAAAAGCAAAGCTACAGATCTGGAGAATGTTTTGTCAACCTATAATACTAGAGAAAGGATTAATGTCCAGAATAAATAAGCTGCAGATGAGAAGAATATATTATATATATTTACTATATATATATAATTATATATAATTCCAATAGCTATATATTTTCTCAATTTACAATGGTAATAAAGATTATTTCCCAAAATAGAGCTGATACAAATTTTTAAAATCATTCAAAATTATAAAAACACTAATAATTTGATAGTATTATAATAGCATTGGTAGGTTTGCTAGGAATTTGATGTTGTAATACACTACTGGTTGGAGTGTTAAGTTGGGACACTGCTTTCAGGGAAAAATTTGTTAGTACCGTTAGAAGTTAAAATATGACTGACTACCCTATTACCCAGCAAGTGTACTCCAGTATTTTTCCTGAAGAAATACCTATCTGTGTATAGAAAAAGACATAGACGATGACACCCAATCAACAAAATAATGATGGTACAGCGTCACACAATGCAGCCCTTGAAAAGAATCAGATATATCAATATTTACACAATGTGAAAAGATCTCCACGGTGCTATATGGTACAGATGCTAGTTGTACATCAATACTCACATTATAGTACCTCTTATTTTGTAAACTTGTAGGTAAAACGATATTCTTTATGTACACACATATGTAAAAAATAATGGATATTTCTTAAGTACCTGGTATTAGGTATAAGACAAATGGAAATATTTTATCTAAATTCTGGAGATATTTATGAGAATGCATGTATTTAATTAAAATATATGTATTTGGAGAGATAATGATTATAAACAGAGGAATTTGAAAATGGTATATTTAAATGGGGCTGTCAGGGTCACCTTGAAAATTCCACTAAATGAAATAAAACTATTTCTATTAAAAAGAATATATATATCACATATTTCTAAGACAATTCCAAGGAAAAAATGAAAGGAGAGGCCATGTCCTTTCATTAAGTGATTAGATAGACAAGGCATAAAAGTCTAGAAACACGTCTAGATAAATATTTCATTTCCTTTTTTTTCTTTTTTTTACTCCCCTGGGTCTTTGTTGCTTTGTGTGGGCTTTGTCTAGGTGTGGTGAG